GGGACCATGATAGCTTCCTTCTGTAGAACCACATCTCCGTTGCCTCGAGTCTCTTCTTCATCTTTGAGGAAATCGTCCAAGATTCGCTGCGGTAAAGGAGGACAGATATCACGTAACAGCTGAGTACTCTTTTGTTTGTTAGCAAAGATACCTTCCTATCTCGCAGTACCCTGGCCAGGTTTTGGAATGCGTCCTTGACTACCCCAATACGTCTATGGATCTATGCCATCCACTGTCAAAACCCATCGCAGATATTTAAAATCCCGCACCTGCTTGATTTTAATATCCCCGACCTGCAAATCGCATTTCGGGCTCATTCTTTTACTGATGACCATCAATTTCAAATTCAGATTTGTCCTTCTAGAGTGGATGCTAACTATGGTTAGAGGGTTCTGTTTACCCTTCTATTTAACAATAGAATACAATAAAAAGTCGACTTTGCGAGTTCTCATGCCACTGATTTATTATTCCAAACGTACATTCAATGAATCACGATCTTGTTTCCAAAAATTAAGAAAGGTAGGCCACATGGAGCAAACAAAATGACAAGCAATATACAGCGTGTCTATAAATTCTCTTTACAATTTAAAAAAAATATAAATTCCAAAGGCAGTTGATGAGATATCTTAATCAGATTTATTCTTTTTACCAAGTAGTTATTATATTCGTTTTGTATATTTCAGGTATCCTGTTGATGAAAGAGATACAGTTAAATGAATCCCTTAGAACTGGCTAATCTTCAAGAAAAGGAACAATGTGTGTCATGGTTATTTGAAACAAAATCGAAAAGCAGACTCAGTAAAACGACAGAACAAAGTATAGAAATAATCCACCGTCGTGTATGGCACAAGAAATTTATGGAGACAGGGACAGTGTCGGATAAAGGGAGGAATGGACGATCAAGAACATCAGAGAAGACTTTAAGCGTTCTACTACAATGTCCAGCAGTACAGATGCCAGATAGTTACAGTTGCCAGGTTCAACAGTATAAAAAAAAGTCCTACACAAGAACTTGCGATGTTACGCTTGCAATGTACAAAATGAAACTCTTACAGGCACGCGAGCCAAGTGATAAACTATAGTTGAGGCTATGCTATAGCAAACATGGTAAAAAATCGAGTTCTTCGTTAATGCGCTTCTTGCAACTAACGGCGCCCCTATAGAGGTGTATTAAATTTTAAAAATTCAATACATACTTCTTATTTTGTAAAAAATTTAACGTATTTGTCTAACTCATTTTCTTTTGTAATATTTTTTTTAAACAAAATCTATGGACAACCTTTATAAGTAACTCTATAATTCTATTTACGTTTCTATGGTAAAACAACACAGGTTTCACTATTGGCGTTTTTTTGCCATAGTTACTTCTGTGCCATACGTGATACACGCTTAGGTGATCATGTATCGAAAGATACATGACCGACGAGGCAGATTTTTCGCACAGTAGTTTGCAAATCCTTTCTGCGGTAGACCAAGGATATAGAACCTTGGACATAGAAGAGGATTTATGCCTTTCCCAAGAGTATTAGCACGTATGTGAATGTAATGGATTCGACTAGAATTCGAACTCGGGTCTCCGATTCTTCAATCCGAGCTGCTCTCCATTACTCCACCGTGAAGTCCGATACCTTCTTTTTACCATCTTCACTATTTATTTTTCTCACACATAATTCATTATAACAGTGTTAACAGCAAACCTCTATCTGAAGTGGCTCTCGAGCCAGACATTCGGATGTCATAAAGAAATAACAACATTAACTTAGATTGCGTTGTATTTACCTTTGCTTTTTTTTTGTATTTTTTATTTCAGTTCGATTTGATTCGATACAACGATTTTGTCTTTCCCCTCTGCGTCTTTGTGATTTGCTCTTACTTAATTTCTCCCTGACTTGATCTCCCTACATACCTATCTATATATTATCCACGAGCGTTGCAGTTGTTGTAAATTTAACTGCATCACCAGCTATGCTTTGCACCTTATCATTCCACAATTACAATTTAAATACGAGAATGAATTAGAGATTTTATGAAGGTAAATTTAATTGAATGTCATAGTTAAAGTGAAACACTGCACGATTATATGCGGGCAGTGCAAGAAATTGTCCAGTTCCCGCGGCACTTCCCTTTTTGGGATGCCCCAGGCGTCAACGATTAACTCATATCCCCACCCTTAATGTGCAGCGGGGATGGTGCAGCCTAGTAATATGGACTTTGATTCATTTCCGACTCAGATGTACCTGGGAGCGACCCAAGCCCCTTAGCTATAATTGCTATCTCTGGCAGGCAAGTGATACCGGAGTTGACCAGGATTATCAATAAGTGGGATTAAAAGCTACGCCATTTTTACTGATGATTATTTACTGAAAGCCGGCCATTTTATTTTAGACAAGTCTTCATTTATCATCAGTGTGTCCATTATCATTAGATTTCGTCTCCACTTGTGAAGGGGGTTGTAATTTTCATGTTGTTATTTTTGAATTACCTATAAAAGACGACTCACCACTTCGTAGGCTTGCGGCACCCACATCGATGCACAGTAGGGTGCACTTCCACAACCTTGCACCGTCAGCGGCCGGGTATTTTTGTCGCAGTATCTCACGTCAGTTCGCTTTCCTTCACGATTAATGCACATCACATCACGTCTCTGGATGCCTCGCCCACAAGGCCCGTTACACTGCAAAGACAGATACAGGAATGAAATAAATATCATCAAGCAAGAGTAATAATTTGAATTCATTAGAACAGAGACCCGTAATATCACTCTCTCTCTCTCTCTCTCTCTCTCTCTCTCTCTCTCTCTTTCTCAATATAACCGGTGAGATTTAAATTTTCCATGCCTTCCACCTTCATCGTGTCCATCGTATGTGGCGATGATCGTACTAAGTACTTATTTTTAATGGTTAACCAGGAGAGCTCGTTAACCATTACCCCTTACGGAAAATAATTAATAAACTTATCCTAGCAGAGTGAATAAATAATAATAATAATAATAATAATAATAATAACTAGTTTGAAAGAAGCAAAGCAAAATTTGTAACTGACAAATCCCCGCATGAGTTTTTTGATAGATTAATTCCTACATTCATTTTCCACGGTTTATCAGATCTTTGCAGGTTATTTAAAGCCAGGAAATACTTTTATTCAATTTTAAGAATTTATATTTGTGGGAGGTGATAATAATGGCTTACTGCTTAACCTTAAGTTTGGAAGGAACAGGAGGTGGTTTCATGCCTTTCCCAAGGCTATTTGTGTGAAGATAATGAAACTAACAGCAATTAGAACTCGGCTCTCTGTAACAATCCCGAGCCATTATCATTTTCACCAAGTGAACATACAAACTTACAGTGAATTTATGAACAAAAATAACGACGATTTTCATTAAAAAAGTGTTTCCTTTAAAAAGAATTTTAAAGAACATCCATTATTATTGGTAAGAGAAACGTGATAAACTTTTTTCTCGAAAAACTTGTTTTAATTGTATTATATATTACATCTGAAAGTAGTACTGGCTGCTCGGTTAATGATCGCCGAATACTTCATTATGTCTAATGTCTAATAATATCATAACCATTACTATATAAATATAGTGACTATGCAAGATATTTTGGCTATTGAGTTGGTGCATAATAATCAAGTGTTTTTTTTAAATAATATTTATTATGAAAAAAGAAGCATAACAATTCGACAATAACAATTTCAAATGATTATTCCGGAGCGTATGTGTTATCGACACGCATTTTTATAACCGGAAAATAAAATAATATCTTTATTAAAAAAGTAAACAAAACAGCAATTTTTATGAAGAAGTACACACATAGAATAACGCCTGACCTGCACCAACTTAATAATTCGTGTATTTTAATAAGTCACTGTATAAATGCATTTTTCATATCTTTAAGTATTAGTCAATGTTTTGGGAAAATTTTAAAAATCGAAATTTCGGTTGTATATTTTTATATTTGCCACCAATTAAATTTATTTGACTTTTCGAAATTTCTTTTGATTTTTTTTAATGTTCATGTCGGATTTGATAAGCATCTGTCAGTCGTCCATAAGAATTATAATTTGTTTTTTTTTTTAATAAGACAAAATTAATAGAAAAGAACTACATCTTCATCTTTTGTCCTTAAAATCTTATTTGGCAACGGAGCCAAATATATCTTTTACATATATGCGTGTTACTGAAACGACTATTGCACGGTAAAAAAAAAAAGAAACATTTCCTAAAAGAATTTATATTTAGCCATTTTGATAAAATCCTCGATCTGAGCGCATTTCACAATTCTTTCGAAACAAGACATAAAAAATTGACAGAAATCTTTGTTTGAGAAAAGAAAATATATCGTTGTTATAAACTTATAGAAGTCATGTATTTGACTGATACTTCGGTCAAAGGTCAGTCAATATATACCCATTTCCTTCATTTCCGTAATATCTTCGCAATTCCGAGCAGACGACACTTGATCGTTGGGGACTTTTACATAAACTAAACAGAAAAGCAAACGAAATCTAACGTCCGGCTGTCATATTTCCAAGAGTCTTTGTCGGATCTTGTTACGGCTGACATTGGGAATAATAGCTCTTAGCGATGACAACCTAGAAACATAGTGGTACTTATAGGGGGAATGATTTTCCCAAGTGCTTGTTTTTTTATTCCTTTTTCAGTCTGACTCGCTGAATGCCAATCTAACTATGACACCGAGAGGCAGGACAGACAAACAGAAACGGGTTCATGCCTTTTACAGGGACCTGCAATTCCACCATAAAAGCGCATCAAAATATGTAGCTAATTACATATACCAGAGATTTCGCAAATCACATGTTTTTTTTTTATTCTTCAGAACAACTTATCCTCTTCTGCATGTATTTACCAAGACGCCATTTTCTAGATACCTTCTCGGCTTAAGAGATCAGAGACCCTTATAGCTAAGAGACACATTTCTGCTTCCAATGAGTTGAATCTTCTTCGTGTTTTGCAGAGACGACGACATTTTCACAAAAACAGCTGTCATTGAATGCTAGTGAATAAATATTTATGTTATTTCAACCATTCCACCCGAAAATTAAGCGGGCGTGTCACCAGTTCACAGGGGCTTAGAGGGAATTAAAGTGAGAGAATAAAAAACTGAATATAGCGGGGAATGAATAAACGACAAAAGATGAACGCGATTCAAGAAGACAGAAGAAGACGATTGACGCTGCATTTAAATCGTAGTTATTACAGAAGTAAGTAAACAAAGGGATTCCACAGGTTAGAAGTGCGAGGAAAGAAACTGTTCGAGTAGAAGTGGCGTTTGCATTTCTCTATTTCAACAGTAAAACGGTGTGACCTTAGATGCCAATCCAGTAGCTCGCTTAAATTCATTTTTACTAAGATGCCAAAACACAGTTCAGCGGGAAACGGGTTCATGACTTTCTCAAGGAACCTGTGAAAATACGCCATTTCAGCATAAATTCGAACCAGTGGTAGAGGTTATCTCTGCCTGCTGTACATTATACAAATCACGTGACATTTTGCTTTTAAACCGGATTAATCTCACCGCGTAATAATCCTACGGACTGCAGTTATGGACTCCCCATCTCTAGAAGGATTACCAAAAAATGCTTAAGATTTCAGACTCTTCAATGTCGGAGACACCATTCTTCTTTGAATCAACATCATTTCCTCCGTATATCAATTGTAAAGAGGTCAAGCATTTACACAGTTTTTTCCATGTAATGCTACTTTACGAAACAGATCCTGGCATGGGTACCCCCACTTTTAAACTAAAATCATAACCTCTGCATGTCAGGAATGGAGCGTTACCTAATTTCCTTATCCTGATAAAATCTTCCCAGCGTCTAGTCTTTCATCATCCTGGGTATGACGATAAAATACATCCGGCAGCAAAGCGTCTGATCGGGTGGTTTTGTGGATTATGGAATCACCTCCTAAATGATGCTATTCCCAGGTCCACCCAGTAAGGTCCCCAACTATGGTCAAATCATTAAACGCCAAACAGGGCACAAAACAGTATGAGAGTAGAAAATTATATTTTATAGTAAAAATACCTGTAATACATTTTTGAAAAAAAATACCAGCAATGCATACTTCAAAATAATACGAACAGTACATTTTTGAAAATATATGTATACATCATCAGCAATACATTTTGAAAAAAAAAGAAAAAAATATTGCTAGCAATACATTGAAATCTCAAAAACCATCTTTACAAAAATACTTCAATGAAATTTATCAACTGATTTTTTTTTTGCAAAGAATATATATTCTATTTGTACGAACCTATCCAAAACATCTTGTAGGCATTAAATAACCCATTATGCTTGATATTCCATAAAGTAAAATAAAACAAACTAAACCAAACATAATCTTTCATTCATGTCATACACATTATTTATTAAAAACATACGTTTTAACAGTAAATCTGTATTTACCAAAGTTCGTCCCATGAGGAGGGATTTCGCACAAAGCTGTTTTTTTTACGTAAGGCGTTCCGATACCGTAGGCTTGGAAAAAAATCCAGTCAACCTTCCCAGAGAAAGTGAGAGAGGTTGAAAAGTAGTAAGGTTCGCAACCCCGGAGTAAAAGTAATTCTCTACCTTGAGTGGTTTTCATTTGTGATTTGACTTCATTATAAAATTGTTTCTATCTGTTCATTTGTGCAATGATCGATGCCTTTGAAAGTGAAGCCGACAAAAATCCACTCATGATAATTTTGTTAATCCGTGACATCGGTCATTGTCCTATGGGATTTAAACATCCAGGCACTTGGCATGTCTATATTACCAATACAGCAACTCTTTAGTCAATCGGTAATGGTGAGATTTGAAACCTGGGTCTCACGATAATTTAAGCCGTATCGCCAATTCGATCCGTATGTTTCTATTATCCCTGCTACTGTTTTCCAACTTGATAACTCCAGACCCAAGAAAATGGAAAATGTATGTTATTTCTTTTAAGATAATGGCTTATATACAAAGTCTTATATAATTATATATAGTAGAAATATTTTTGTATGACGTTTTTCATCATTTGGGAATTTATTGGACTAAAATGATGCTTTCTTTGATACGAGACATGAGACGAGGGTTTGTATTATAATAACATCATCACAAGGAGACGACGTTGAATTTATCTTGACATAACTGTTGTTATCCCAATGTGGGACACTTACTAACAAAAGTAATGAAAACATGAACAAATACAAAAAGAAACTAAACGTAATTGGCTCTACTATATACACAAATACATATAAAAATATTAAATTTAAAATTTTAGCGTTCCCTCCTATTCGTGCAAAGGCGAAATTACGGCAAAGGAGACATAACTTTTGGTTATGTTGATTTCCTTTAGCGGCATTTGAACCTCTATTTAGAAGGCACGGTTGTGTAATGGATAGCGGCTCGGATTGAGGAATCGGAGAGCCGATTTCGAATTACAGTCGAATCTATAACATTCACTTACGTGCTAATACCCTTAGAAAAGGTCTGAATCCTCTTCTTCTTCCCCCAGCTATGGGTAAATAGTAGGACCGACTGGGTTTTATAGCCTTGGATGGTAATTGGTCTACCGCAGAAAAAAATGGCACCTTACTGCGGGAAAAATCAGTCACGTCAGTCATGTATCGAAAGATACATGATCGCCTAAGCGTGTAACACGCAGGGCACATAACT